ATCAAAGCATTTGGATAGATCCAGAAGGCAGAGGAGAGTAAGTTCCTGACGGTCAGTGGTAGCAAGGATATGGTCGGTTACGGTAATAAGCGCGGTTTGTGTGGAGAAACGGGAGCGAAATCTGTGCTGGGATGAGGAAAAGAGATTACTTTCGGTTATATAGCAGCAAAGCCGCCGCTGCGCGACCCTCTCGACAAGCTTCAAAAGCCAGGACGATGGAAAAATATCTAAAGCTTGAGACATCTGGTGGGCTTCCGGGCCTGTGGAAAGGATGTAGGAAAAAATGGGGCGAGTGTATCACGTCCAAGCAGTACGAGGGCGACTAATTCCAAATGTATGGGACGGATGGCGGTCTTGAGTCACTCAGCTGACGCACAGCGGCTCCCTCTACCTTTCGGGGTACTTCCGGCCACATACGTGCGGCCGTCTTGCGGTGAGCGCGGCAATTGTGTGTTTGCATATCGTTAAAAACTATAACGATTGGTGTAATCATCGCTCAAGGGCGTACGGCATAACTAGAAATATGTGAATGCTATACTGAGTAGTGGGAATTTGTGCCGCACATACTGTAAAGCATTCGGAATCCGCTAGCCAAGGATTTCAGGGTAGCGCAGGTTTTTTCCAGGATACCGCGTGATACGTGTGGTATCGGCTATCAGTATCGGCGTGGGGCGTGTTGTATCGTGGATGCAATCTGCCGACAACAGCATTGACTGACTTACTGTCAGTGGTTGAATGGCATGACTGCCCTGGCTGATAGGTATTTAGACAACAAGCCAACATTTACATTACTTATGTAGATCGTTGATTCCCACCTGAGCAACCGGTACCGAGGTGGCAGTAGTCGCAAAAGAAACGCTGACTGCTTAAAGGGAATACTCAACATCTGAAGATATTGAGGGGGGCATCAGATATGATGGGAAAAGCTTACTTGCAACTGTTGATAAACTTTCAAGGTTCAAAAACGACGCTAAGTAGCAAAATTTAAAAGTTAGTAAAAATGCGCCCCATTACCTCATTGTCTTTGTCATTTGTCATTGTTATTGTCCTTGTGATAGCGTCATGGAATAGTTCTGTGACGACGGCAATGCCTGGCAGCATCTAGGAGCAAGACCTACAGAATACCTCGAAGCACACGAAAGCTGACGCCAACTGGCCATTCTCGTCGCGGTGGCTGTGTCGAGTGGCGAATTAGTGGGTAGTTTGTTCGTGGATTTTTGGTCTTGGTGCTGGCGTAATAAAAGCCTTGGTGGACTGCTTGATGTACGCAACGTAGCAGTCGCGAGCTTTTATGGCATATTTTTAATATCCAAGCACGGTATGCTGTGCTGCTGCTGGTGCTGCTGTGCTCTTGATGATTTTGTCAATACTTTATTGTCGACCCATCGTTGCCTGCAGTGTTGTAGTCCTGAGATTGGCATCATGTTATGTGCACAGTAGTTACTTTCTTTGTTGCTTGTACCCGGAAATGCGGTGCCATGCGAAAATTCGTAAATTTGTAGCGTTGCTATGAATTAATTGCCAAAGCATTGCTACCGCTATGGTAAAGATGGTAAAGTTGGGCGACGAAAAACGGTTTTTATGCATAGAATTGTGTATGCAATTAATAGTTAACGCTGATATAAACATTGTGATACAATGAGATTCTTGCTGTTGATAGCCCTTTGGCATTGTTAAATCAGTTGTTACCAGTCATTCATAAATTATAAGCTGCTGTCTCATAGGCTTGACAGAGTAATCAACCAATGTAGTGCATTGTGTAATGACACGGGTAACAGCATTATGTAACAGCTGTGGCATTACCTCAGTGCTGTACTGTGGCATGACATAGTGAGCAATGATATGGTTTTTGTGCTGCAATCTATGCCGCTTTCATAACAAATTCCAGCATGAAAAGATGGGTCAAGTATCCTCTCTTGCATTGACTCCCCATCTGACATATGACTGACCAAAAACACATGATACAACGTACAAATCACTTTCAGCAAGCAGGCAGCCAATGCGTGGCATCACTTGCTCAACCTGTTTTGGGAATTCACAAAACCTGGGCGAGAAAGACGCAAACACACCTTCCACTTCCACAGTCATGCAACATGCTGCAGCCATCAGGCTGCTTTACTAAAAAATAGCAGGAAAATTTTACATATGGTGAAATGACACTGGAAACATTTTGCCCTTGCACAAGGCTGGAAACGTAACAAGTGCATGTAGTTATGGTTGGATGGACAAAATGCATGGAAGAAATCACCAATCACAATCAAAGGACTGCATGGAAGAAATCACCGGCGCTCTTAATTTACAATCGTTGCTGACTTCCTAAAGCGATAGAGTTCAGAAGCTTTGTCAATTTTTTATCCGGGTTCCACAGACATTGAGGACACCGCGAAGGCAGATTGTAGATCCATGCGTTTGATCCAACTTTGAATATGAAAATTTGATTGCAAATCGAGCGGTCAACATTGTGTAGTAACATGGCCAAGCCATGTTTGTCTGAAACTGTTCACCATTTAATCAGAATCTATTGGTGATGCAGTTCATGCAACGGGGTTTTTAATATGCTCGCTCGCAAATCTTAGCAACAAAAACCTCGACTCCAGGTGCTGCAGTCTCCATAGTCCGCGGAGCGTTAGCCCAGTAGCTAACATTTAGCCGTGACCCACGGGTGGACGAAAATGATGACGCTTCTGAAATGATTACCTTTAAGCACTTAAATCAACTAGTTATGCAAGTTAGGTGGCGTAATTTTGAGCATGCGCACTCGAAAATTCTAGAACCACAAGCCCCACCCCTGGCGTTGCAGTCTCCGAAGGACGTGCGGCGTCAGCCTAGCACCTAATGCTAAGTTGTGGCCAACGGGTGGATGAAAATGACGACGCTTCTGAGAAAGTATCCTTGGACGTTTCATGACATCAGATCTTGCATTTAGAAGGCAGTCTGAGGGCATATTTCACGCGTGTAATTTTTAGATTGATGAAAAGAACGGCTTGGCCCACAAAGCACCACGAAGTGGGGCTGGAATCTGGTGGTTGAACTGGAAGAATGAAGGTAAAAACTCCATTTTTCGTGCTTCCGCAGCTATTTATCTGTCCAGAAGACAGATTAACACGGTGCACGCCATCTGGTGGCACTTGCATTGGCCGAAACGTATCGGCTTTACGGAAGTTGCAACCCAGACCATCCTCGTCCTCGTTCTCGATGTTGCGGGCGGGCATGTTCAAGCCTTTTGATGTAATCTGTTTCAATGATGCATTCTGAAAGAAATGAACGTTCTCAGGCAAAAATGACATGACCTTGCTCGTTTTTTAAATTCATTTCGACCCGTGCTTTTCAACAATAATGAGAGCCCCACTCCCGTAGCAGCCGCACACCCGCGTCCAGTTCCGACGCCGCTGGGGTTTCCCGCAGCAGCCGCACACGGCCGCGTCCAGTTCCGACGCCGCTGAGGTTTCCCGCAGCAGCCGCACACGGCCGCGTCCAGTTCCGACGCCGCTGGGGTTTCCCGCAGCAGCCGCACACGGCCGCGTCCAGTTCCGACGCCGCTGGGGTTTCCCGCAGCAGCCGCACACGGCCGCGTCCAGTTCCGACGCCGCTGGGGTTTCCCGCAGCAGCCGCACACGATCGCGTCCAGTTCCGACGCCGTCAATTGATCGACCAAAGCCTTAGTTCATAAAGTCAGCCGTCTTGTGAGTGTGACTGACGTCAGCGCTGCTGCTTGCGTGGCATGTGCAGTGGCGTTTCCAGGGTTTCACACCACAGGGTTTGAATGAGGTCACATGGGAACTTTTTCAGCCAAGGACCCCATCTTCGCCCCTCTAGGGACCTGTTCTTGAATTCGATGGACCGCTGCAGGCTTGGTATCCTATTTTGACGCCTCGCGGCTCAGTTTTGTTGTAGAATTTTCAAGGTCGTTTCGAACTGCCAAAAAACACTGGGGCCTTGTGCGTCTCGGGTTTTGGCCACGTGGGGAGATCTGGAGATCTCCCACCACCTCCAAGCCTGGGTATAGCCCCAGAGTCCCCTCCTAGGATGCGGCAATGTACATACGTAAGATCGCAAAACATGTGACGGCTTTTTTAGTTTTGGACTAATTAGCCCCGTGCCAGGGTCGAACTCCAGTGCTTTTCATGATGGCGACCAATAGACCGTGCCCGAATGCTGCAGAGTTTATCATAAGGGAGAGCAAGCGGGGTACAACGCTGAGGCCACCACAGAGTCTTACCATGCGCGGACCCCCATGCCTTAGTTGTGCGCAGGGCTCCGGTAGTGAGGCTCCCGCCTGGGCGCACGCCTCGGGCGGGCTCCCCTCCGGGCGCGGGGCTCCCGTGGGGCTCCCCCGGGCGGAGGGCTCCGGTGGGGCTCCCGCCCGGGCGGAGGGCTTGGGTGGGGTTCCCGCCTGGGCGCAGGGCTCCGGTGAGGCTCCCGTCTGGGCGCAGGGTTCGGGCGGGCTCCCGTCTGGGCGCAGGGTTCGGGCGGGCTCCCGTCTGGGCGCAGGGTTCGGGCGGGCTCCCCCCCGGGCGCAGGGCTCCCGTGGGGCTCCCGCCCGGGCGGAGGGCTCCGGTGGGGCTCCCGCCCGGGCGGAGGGCTTGGGTGGGGTTCCCGCCTGGGCGCAGGGCTCCGGTGAGGCTCCCGTCTGGGCGCAGGGTTCGGGCGGGCTCCCCTCCGGGCGCAGGGCTCCCGTGGGGCTCCCGCCCGGGCGGAGGGCTCGGGTGGGGCTCCCGCCCGGGCGCTGCGGCTCTGAGGTCGACCCGCAGCTGGAGGCAACACCATGCCCCCGGTGCAGCATTGCCAGCATTCAGAATAGAACAGCGAAGGGGGAAAATGGGGCTGATCGCTCAGGATGATAACGGTGTTGATAAAGATTCTAGTTCGAGGGCGCGCCGGCTGCATGTGTGGTATGGCGCCCCGCGGACCGATATTATGTACGCCATGCACAGCTGTGCGCTTTAGTAACGCTGCTTCGAGCTTCCGCATTAGCAGACGGTTCCAACCATCACACGAACCGTGCTTGCTAACGTGTATTTCCGCATTCAAAAACGGCTTTCTTGTCGAAAAGCGTATGCCCTACACGCATGCGAATCGGCGTCCTCAGTTCCGAGAGCGAAGCACAACTAGAACCGAGCTTCGGCAAAACACTCGACGAGCCGTCCGCCTGCCGCGGCGGCGGAACCGCCACAGGTCACCGACGCGGTCGAAAAGGCGACCGCCGGCCGCAGGCGACAACACAACATACGGGCCCACCCTGGCGGCAGATCACAGAAATCAGGAGGAACGGAGGCAGCCCGTCTGGCCGCCGCCGCCCGCGGCCGGGCGAGCGGCGGGCGGGGCGGAGGGGCGGCCGCGGGCCGCCTCCCCCGGCACGCCAAGAGGGGCGGAGAAGAGCACAATACGAGCGAATGCTACCGGGCGCGCCGGCCCACTGGTCTTCACGGTGAGGTACAAAAACTAGGGCCCGCCGTACGTGACGGGCGTCTATACACTTGGCAAAAAGCGAGCACAGAACCGAGGTGGAATCAATCGTCTCAAGCCACGCCATCACCGGTTCAAATAAGACCACGCATCCCTGACCGATTCCAGTCCACGCACGCCAACCGTTCGTTCGTCCGACCGCACGCGACGCGCGGCGGTAGTTAGGTACAGTAGTGGTTTTGTTCGTCCCCGCCAGATGTCTGTGCTGGCGGGGCGCTGTTTCAGGTGCGCTGGCCGCTGGGCTACCAGCAGAACAGGGAAAGTTCCGCTGACGGCCGCCAGGTGGTGACAGATCGGATCCCCTCCTGCGAAAATTCGAGCCAAGTTATGCATGCCATGTCACGACAATTCGAGCCATGTCACAGCATGTTGACACACGATATAGCCCTTGGGCATGACTGCAAGGACACGCGTTGTTACAGAGGGAGCTCAATTCCAGAACTCAACCATGTAACGGCAGTAAAACTACTAAAATTGTTTGGTCACCCTCTTGAAATTGTCTTGCAACGTCATGAAGTGTGAGTAATACAACGGATTGTGACTCTCAGAAGTGGCACCATCAATACAAGGTCTGGCTGACATGACGCGTGACACCGTGTCCCGTTAAACTATACGGCAGGTATCAGATATCGGCATACTATACATCCGATCCAGGAAAGAACACGCATTTCAGCTTGATGACGTCTTTACGGCTTACCATAACTATTCAGACCTGTCAAAAAGTGCATAGCTACATGACGTTGATACGGATGAACGATTCGAAAGGTAACCGTGGATGGATTGAAGCTCAATGTATATATTGAACAGTAACGAGAATTCGTAGTCCAGAGCCTAACTCCTACACCCACAGTGCCCTATCAGTCTACAGTCCCATGCTCACGGCCTCTGGAGACAATGCCAGCTACGGAGGATCCTTTTTCAGGCCACATACATGACGCGGCCTACGCGCGTCACATCCCCCGCGGTCAGACGCCGACCGACCATCCATGCCCAGCAGTTGGGCTCCGCACCACTGATCTAGACCGAGCGGCCCATCTCGGCTGCGTTTCCCCGATCCACGGCAGCGTCCGTGGCTGCATTTCCTCGATCCACGGCAGCGTCCGTGGCTGCATTTCCCCGATCCACGGCAGCGTCCGTGGCTGCATTTCCCCGATCCATGGCAGCGTCCGTGGCTGCATTTTCTGTCCTTTTTGGGAAACCACTGAATTTTGATCACGGAGGGCCGAGGGCGGCAAAATCTAGAGAAGCACGCGCAGAAATATGCTTAGAATTACGCACGTTGTTCCGTGCATTACCGAGGAACATTATTCACATAGATAGGACAGTAGTAGTAGCCTTATTTCTTGGAGAAAAACCAAGAGAGTGGAGGTATAGTTGGGCTAACCCAACTATATCTCCACTCTCCTGTTAGTCAACTATATCTCCACTCTCCACTCTCCTGTATAGTTGGGCTGACCCAGCTATACCCCCACTCTCTTGGTTCTTCTCCGAGGAATAAGGCTAATACTACTGTCGTATCTATGGAAATATGTTTAGCATTAGCTCGTCGAACCAACTATATCCTCATTCTCCCGGCTTTTCTCCGAGGAATAAGGCCATCACTATTGTCTTATCTATGGAAATATGTCTGGCATCAGCTCGTCGGAAGTGCAGGTTCACTGCATGCTGCATTAAACGTTATACGGTAAAAGTACCTTTCTAAGCCCAAACCAGTTGCCTCCAATATTTCCACACATTCTGCTCTCCTGCAGCAGTGTAGTGCAGTTACATTCAGATATTCTTTGAACTAACGAAAAGAAAAGTCGCAATAAAAGCTGAGGAACTTTCCGCTGCTCATTAATGGAAATCGCGATATCCAACACCAGGTAACTTGCGATCACTATTGACGGGCGTCCAAAATGATAGTCCCGACATGCATTCAGCTGATTGAACACCATCTCTTTGCTACTGTATCCAGTACGAGCAGCACGCACGGAGACGCACTTCTGCGCCAGCTAACGCTGTCGGCACGCCGACCAATTCAGCGAAGCCTGCCGACAGCGCCGCCGCAGCGCACGGCCCAAAGCCACGTCCCATGCAACGTCCTGGCAGCGCCCGCTAGCGCAGGACCTCTCTCGCCCACCCAGCGGACCACCGGCGACAACCGCCACTAGGATCACGGGACTGGGCTGTCTGGTCACGTGACCCACGGCGTTTCTCGGCTGACGCGCACGAGCCAGCGACCAAGCCGTCGGCACGCCGCCGCGATCCCGACCTAACGGGCCGCGCGGACCGCCATTTGACGCGCCATCGCATTAATGTGCAAATATAGGTGCATACATCTGCGGTGTTGCGCCGGTCCGGCGGGGCGTCGTTACGTGGCACCCGACCGCCAACCCCCGTCCAACCTGTTGCATTTTCTCGAAGTCGAGACAGGGCCGCTGCATGCCGAGTGGCGGCAGGCCGCGGTGCCGCTTCCTCCCCCTGGCGGGCGAGTCCACGTCGGCGGCGCGCGCCACGCTACGCGGCGGCGTGCTGGCGCGGCCGGGTCGATGTGCGCCAGCCGGGGGTGACGAGCGGAACTGCACGGGCGCCGGCGAGGCGGGGCCCCGTGGGCCCGCCATCTCCTCGTCCGAGCTGCAGCTCGAGTCACGTGACGTTCGCTTCACCTGCGGCAGCCGCAGCGCACGCTCAACGCTCGTCCCACGAGAGGCAGCCCGCTCAAAACTCCACGTACCCGCGAATACTCACGCTTCAACTCACGTCCAACAGCCGCAAACACAGGCGGCTTATTATCAACAGCAATGTGCTCAGGTTACACAAATCCGGCGACTCGCGTCACACCAGTCCCATGACACGACTTCCACCTAGCAGCACCCTTCGCAACACCCCTCAACCCAACAGCTTCCACTCAACACGGCTTCCACCCAACAGCTCACCCCATCGCACACAGCTACACTCCCGGCTGCCAACACAGCGCGGCGCGCAGTCACTGGCAACAGGGCCGCAGCATCGACTCGCAGGAACTACGCCGCGCAACACGCTTTCGTGCGAGCGGAGCTCGCCGCACGCTTCCGTCCGGGCGTGCTTCGCCGCTGGGGGCGCTCACCTGTGACCACTTGCGTTTCTCGCGCTCGCGGCAGTTGAAGCCCTCGAGCTCCTCCTCCGAGCTGTGGTTGGCCTCGGCCTGGACCTCGTCCAGCTCGAGGTCGGAGCTGAGCTGATCAGGCGACGGCCGGCCCGGCCCGCTGCTCAGCGGCGGCTGCACAGCCACGCTCTGCTCACTCTCCATCCTCTGCCGGACAGGGGCCGGGTCACCACACGGCCACGCTCTGCTCACTCTCCATCCTCTGCCGGACAGGGGCCGGGTCACCACACGGCCACGCTCTGCTCACCCTCCATCCTCTGTCGGACAGGGGCCGGGTCACCATACGGCCACGCTCTGCTCACCCTCCATCCTCTGCCGGGCAGGGGTCAGGTCACCACAAAGCCACACGCGCGCACACGCAACCCCCCCCCCCCCCCTCCCCACACACACACCATGCACCACAGACACGTGTTGTGTCAGGCTTCGCCACAATCATCTGTGCAGCCAGAGCCACTAAGAAGTCCGTACCATACGGCGGAGGACGTCACGGTCTGCGGAGCGGCAGAGCCACCGAGGAGTCCGTCACATACGACGGAGGACGTCACTGTCTGCCGAGCGGCAGAGCCACTAAGAAGTCCGTACCATACGGCGGATGACGTCACGGTCTGCGGAGCGGCAGAGCCACTAAGGAGTCCGTCACATACGACGGAGGACGTCACGGTCTGCCGAGCGGTCTGGACGCCATTTCCGACCATTGGCTGTCGTTACGACGTAACGTCAACCCTTATATCGATGTCAATTGCGCGTCCAAGATGGGATAGGACTCAATTCCTCCGAAAACGTTGCATTACTTTGGACACTGTTCAGAGAACCCTTCGCATTCTGCACCAGCGTTAGTGCACGAATGCACAAGGTTGTGACAAAAACAACCCTTTATCAAATACTTGCCTTAAGCACAAAGACCATTCGATCACACCGTTATCCCATGGACTAAATGTCGTGCTCTTCAGTCACCTGGGTACGAAGAACCCTGAGTGTTCCTGTGTCATGCATTCACTTCATTTATGGCGTGAACAGCGGCGAGGGCGCTGATTCCTATACCCCTCCACTTCGCGCGCCGTCGAAAATGTCTCCCGTCCCCCAGGTGTCTTTAAATGGCTTTTTCACGCCCAGATGTGCCAGGCGTTACGGCCGGCCACTGAATTAAGGAATGTAACGTAACGATACATGAGCATGTCCGCCTGCACACTCCGGGACTAAGCCGTCACCAGCCTGTTTTGGACACCGTCTGTCGTCGCCACCATCGATCCGTATCAGTTTTGAGCCGGGGCTCATTTACGGGCAGTGCCACATGATCGGACCGCGAGGCGCCTCACTCCCCTCGGCCACTGGCGCCGCAGCGGTCGGCACGGGTCAGCACGGGCCAGCCACAGACCCCCCCCCCGCGGCCGCCGCAAAAGAGCGGTGAGGCCACCGTTCGCCGCGTGGCCCTCGTCTGTGCCGCGCTGGGGTACGGCCGGGCGGTGCCGGACGCGGCCAGCGGCACCGTCCCGAAACACAGCCGCACCCCTGCGCTCTCACCACGCCGCTCAGGGCGCGGAACCACCGGCACGCTGTCCGAGCCGGCCGTCCGAGCCGCGCCGCGGCCCTACCTCCGCCAAAACTCCAGCGAGCGCGACCCCCCGGCCGCGGAGAAGTTCCACCGGCAACCCGCACGTCGACGAGCCATGGATGCTTGGCACGTGGCCACTACCATGGGAGCGCCACTCGCTGTACCGGACAATCACCGGGGACGATAGCAATGCGCTGCGGGCGGTATTACATAACATTAACGGTACCAGCTGACAACATTCACCGAATCCGTTATCCAACTGCCTGCACATTGTGACTTTTGGACTTACCAGTAAAAAAAGAAAAAAAGAACTTAACAAAAGAATAAACAAGAAATGGGGCGTTGATAATGACCGCTGTGGCACATCAAACGTATTCCGTTCGAGGCTTCAATGCGTTGATGTGTCAGCCTCAATACTTTGCACCGTATTTGAACTTGCATCGCACGTCCACCATTTGCAGCTTGGCACGCGCTTAGATTCTGTGGGGCCACCACAAACTGGCTGGATCCACCGATTCCCTGCAAGGCACTGCTTTCCACCGCGAGTGAATGTTAATCTCATGGACTTGAAACCAACGACGACATCCCATAATGCACGTCCCCATTCTGGAACCAAAAGCTGGGAAGCATCCGTCAGAAGACGGCCGAGAGCATTGACGTCACTGCCATTCGCGCCACAGAGTCGGCGGGAGAGTAACCTGACCCCAGAGCACGCTGTGACACACCCAGCTAAGAGCACAACGCTCCCAGATCTTCATGGTTTGTTTATAGAGGTTTGTTGGCGCATCTTTAGCTGAGAACGTATAAACAGCCCAACACGTACACAGGACAGCGACAGGGACAGAGTACCCACATACAGGCTAACGTGTACACAGGACAGCGTCCGGGGAAGAGTACCCAGGTACGGCCTAACGTGTACACAGGACAGCGTCCGATACAGAGTACCGGGTACCGCCTAACGTGTACACAGGACAGCGTCAGGGACAGGGTACCCAGGTGCGGCCTAACGTGTATGCAGGACAGCGTCCAGGACAGAGTGCCCAGGTACGGCCTAACGTGTACACAGGACAGTGTCCGGGACAGAGTACCCAGGTACGGCCCAACGTGTACACAGGACAGCGTCCGGGACAGAGTACCCAGGTCAGCCACTGTCCTTTGCATCGTCTGCCGCCAAACCAACAGTTATCCCAGTCTAGCCGTCCCCGCTCGTGGCCCTGAGTCACACCCTTCCCAGCTCGTGGTGCCCTGACTCATACCCTCCCCAGTGGGTAGTACCCCCAGTCCGGCCGTCGCCAGTCGGAGTCACACCACCCCCCAGTGCCAGTAACGGCCACCCCGGACAGGCCCGGCCGGGACGCGGGCGCCCGCCTCCCGTTTTTACCGTCAGCAGATAGCATCTGGCATTCAGGCGGGGACGGCCGGGGGCGCGCGGGGACAGATAGCTGGCCGGGGCAGCCGCCAGCGTCGACTGGACCCGAACCGGGCGTCGACCTTGGACGGCAGGGCACCGGCGCGACCGGCCGGCGCCCGGCGGCGGCTCAGGCACGGAGGGGAGCAATGTGCGGGGAGTGGAGGGGAAGGAGGGGGATGGAGCTCAGTCTGGCCCCTGGGTAACACCGCCTGGACACCGGTGACCCCTCCCGCAGCATACCTCACCAGCTCGGCGGTGCCCTGGGTCACAGGTCGTCAAATGGCGAGAACATGAGTCATACTGTATTCGGCCGGCGACTCAGCCAAGTCTGTCATGGCCAGCCGAGTCCGTTAATGCAAGTATTGGTCAGCAATCGCTGGATTAAGCTCAGGCCGCTTCACATGGTGTAATCGGTTTTATGGTTACACCTCTATAAACCCCTGCAGGACGGCCCGTGCCCGTTAGGATCGCGCAAAAATTGAAACGGTAGGCGCTCAGCGCTGACGACACACGACAGGTACGTTAAGATCCCGAGTACGTACGTAAACCCAGCATTGGACGGGGGGGGGGGGGGGAAAGGGAAGGTGTGTCAAATCTAACCACTGTACAATATTCGCGGTAATTCAAAACGCCTCGAGATATCGCTACACAATTTAAAGTAGTTGTCAATTGATGAGTTCTGCGTCTTGCGCCAAAATAACAAATATGATACCATAAACGGTCCAGTGTGAGTGGCACGGCGACGTCAGGTTTGCCAATTGTTTTGGGAAAAGGACACAGCCGTACACAAATTGACAAGAGGCCGAACGAAAGAACACATTTCACATGTGCAAACCGGAGATGTGAGCCATTGGTCCATCATTCATATGCCTTGCCGTTGTATTGCTTCGATGTTGCACAATTACGCGGTGGCATGTCAAATAACAAAAAAGTTGATAAAAAGTACGCTCAACAATTTTTGGCCTCAGACTCCAACTTATGTTAACACGAAAAAAAACCTGTCCTAGATACGACTATGAAGGATGCCTGTACCAAGTTCCCAGCAATCATCTGTACCGATGACTGCGTTATGGCTTGGAATGCAGCACAGCGCACGTTGCCCGTGCCCAGGTGGGCCAGGACCCGCGGCGGCGGGCGGCGGGCGGCGGGGCGCACGCTCAGGTCAGGTCGGCCGTCGGCGGCGCGTAACGTTGGACACCTTCCCATGCAGCATGTTTGATCAGGGCGCAATGATTTCACACCATGAGATACGCTTCTAAATGAACGGCGTTGTTGGAGAGGTCAGACGCTCCAAAGCGACATTTTAGGAATTTTGCCCTGACCTACGACCTTAATACACACTTACTGTTCAGTGACTCACACTGTCATCCATTGCGGAATGACACTTATCGAGATCAATTTCAGACCGATCACGGGTTGGTACGTTGGTAACCTGCTTGAAAATAACGGAATTGTAAATCCGGTGGTCAACAGTTACGCACCCCGCTATTGACATCTGGCCGTATCGAGAATGCTCATCCATCGAGAACGCCCAACCGCGTCATCCCAGCGCACCCTGCTATTGACACCTGGCCGTGTTGAGAATGCTCACCAATCGAGAGCGCCCAGCCGCGTCACCCAAGCACACCCCGGTATTGACACCTGGCCGTATTGAGAATGCCCACCCATCGAGAGCGCCCAGCCGCGTCACCCAAGCGCACCCCGGTATTGACATCTGGCCGTATTGAGAGCGCTCACCCATCGAGAGCGCCCATCCGCGTCACCCAAGTGCACCCCGGTATTGACATCTGACCGTATTGAGAATGCCCACCCATCGAGAGCGCCCAGCCGCGTCACCCAAGCGCACCCCGGTATTGACATCTGACCGTATTGAGAGTGCTCACCCATCGAGAGCGTCCATCCGCGTCACCCAAGCGCACCCCCGTATTGACATCTGACCGTATTGAGAATGCCCACCCATCGAGAGCGCCCAGTCGCGTCACCCAAGCGCACCCCGGTATTGACATCTGACCGTATTGAGAATGCCCACCCATCGAGAGCGCCTAGCCGCGTCACCCAAGCGCACCCCGGTATTGACATCTGACCGTATTGAGAGTGCTCACCCATCGAGAGCGCCCATCCGCGTCACCCAAGCGCACCCAGCTATTGACATCTGGCCGTGTTGAAAATGCTCACCCATCGAGAGCGCCCAGCCCCATCACCCCAGTTACGTTCGTTACACGTGCTATAACTAGGCATGGATGTAAAAATGCGAATAACCTCCAGCGTCGCAGTTTCCGGAGCAGGTGAACCACACGACGTGCTTCTCCGCTCTATTACGTGCTATTTTTCGGATAAAAAACAAGGTGGAATTACTTGGGGCACCAGTGAGCCTCCCCAAAGAGATAAGGGAAATTCGCTGCATCTAAGACTGCCCATATGAGGTGCACATATTTACAGCCTCTCCGCAATAAATACCCGGCTTCTATTTTCCGGGCCAAGGCCATGCTACCGTATCGCGTCGGTCATTGCACCGCCAGTAGCCGAGCCGTACCATCCCAGCCTGGCCGTAGCCGACTCGTCTTCGGGGGCGACAGCCACTCCGAGAGTGCCTCGTAAGAGTCCACAACTACGCAGCTGAGCACTCGACATGCTGTCGGCTAGGCTCGTCAGCGTGGCCCAGCACGCACAGGCCCATCCTCTAGGAGTCGACATGGCCCATAACGTCAGACATCTAAAAACAGATCCCACATACCTCAAGTCCGGGGACAATTCTAGAGGGAGCGGGACGTGCTAACGCACGTACAGTCATCTACTCCCGGCCATATCACACCACGCACCCCTACAATACTGCTTGTGCGCATCAAAAACCGCGTCCACGCACCCCTACAATACTGCCTGTGCGCATCAAAAACCGCGTCCACGCACCCCTACAATACTGCTTGTGCGCATCAAAAACCGCGTCCACGCACCCCTACAATACTGCTTGTGCGCATCAAAAACCGTGTCCACGCACCCCTACAATACTGTTTGTGCGCATCAAAAACCACGTCCACGCACCCCTACAATACTGCTTGTGCGCATCAAAAACCGCGTCCACGCACCCCTACAATACTGCTTGTGCGCATCAAAAACCGCGTGGCGGCAGTTTTCTAGAGTAAAGGAAACTGATAAATTTCAACCCTGGGAAAGCCGGAGCTAAAAAAACACGTTCAATCACATCAATGCAGAACAGCTGACACATAACGAATACGCATTTTGCTCAGCTAATGGCGCCGTAACGCTAGCATAAAGTACTGCCATAATGCTGGAGCCAGTGCACAGAACTGCCTCCTCGTGAGGCAGTTTGATCATCAGCGATCAATGGTCAAGCCAGCCATAAACGAAAATATTGTAACGTCAAGAACGAACGATAAACCACACAAAAGAAACCATGTAAGTTACGATGAAAGGTACATTTTTTTGCGCTCTTTTTTAACTGCCTTCTAGGCTGACCCGACATTTGCAAATGCCCATTGTGAAACATAAATTCCACCTTGAAAATACATTATACTATGACTACTATATCCCTCTTTAGCACAAGGTAGGCTTGGTCCCTCGTAAGAAGTCGTGACCAAAGTCATGAAGCTGTGCATCTGGAGATCCAGTGTATGATATGCAATAAGCAGCTCACAGACATCTGCATTGGACACCTGGGAATGTCACGGGACTGAGGCTCCAAACGTAACATGACGGGTCTCATTTTCTACCCACAGCAGGCGTGTGACGCGCATGTTATGCACATTCAATGACCAACGAACTACCACCCTGAGCCCATGAGATCGAGCCCACCAGATTTTCGTAACGCTCCCGAAACCTTTGTTACACCATAAAATTATGGTGCAGAGAGCGCGCATGCACGGCTTAGCACACCACTCAAGCAGATATGCACGTGTTCTCTCACACACACATGCTTCCAGACCACAAACATGCACACCACACACTTACATATACATGTGGGCATTCACGTCCTTCCTGCACGCACCATTCACGGTAAATACGTGCTGTGTGTGATCGAGGTAGGAGCTCGCAGCGGCAATCGTTCCAAAACGAACCCGCCATAACTACGCATCGTGGGTCTAATATGGACCATGCTGTAGATATTATTATATGCAAGCAATTATTTGAAGTGATGTGCTCGTGCACATGACAGGCTATGCTCATGTGACAGGTGTGACTGCATATGGTTGCCAAATATTATGTGCAATTGATCATCATACACATCATCTTTATGTTTATGTGTTTATTGTTCATCATACACATATAATTTATGTGATGATTACAATTGTGTGATGTGATTTGCAAATAAATTGGGGAAAAAAATATGTTAAAAAATATGTTGGCCATCCATCCCTATGTTCTATCACAAGCACAACTTCTTGGGATGCTTGATATAATTTGTACACAATAATGGGCAGAAGAAGTAACAACTTTTGGGACATTCCAAACTAACTGTAAAAGACACAAAATCTCTGTTGTGAAAGCCACTGAAATCACATTTTGGGTATATTGTTTCATTTCCCCTCCCCAATGGATGGGCCATCTACCATCTAGTAGTTACAAACAACATTGATCTGCAACACCAAAATGGGGGCAAGGGAAATAGAGAGGTGGGACAGGGGGGCTGAGGGCCTCCCCCCCCCCCTTGTGTTTTCTGATAATTTAGCATTGACCCTATGGACAAACAATGGAAAGCAGTACCCAAACATGACAATGACCCCTTCCCAAATTTGGGAGGACTTGCAGTGCTACCAAAGCACAATCACACCTTGACACACTCCTGGAAAATCACAGGCCATCACAGGCACAACAAGTAAGGACTTGAGACAACCAGACTGCTATATCTTCAGAATCCACAAAGTGTCTGCACGGAATGCTTCATTGTTTCTCTGGGATGAGCACACAACTGTAATTCCCAAAGCAGTCAAGCTTCCCATGCCAACCATCCAACATATTATCACTTTTGCAATCTATCTCCAGCAATATTGCTGTGGACTAAAATGCATCATCATCAAGAGGAACCAGATGGTGTTTGCCTCCCATAGAAGCCAAATCCATGTACGATTATTTGAGTATGCGGATACAACTCCTGGGATAAGGGGAGATACTAAAACAATCATGCCAGTCTGCTATATTTTGTTATATACTTAACTAAATAATTTTTTGGCAAGCCCAACTCCTTTATGGCTGATTCAGAGCTGAGTACATCCATGAGATCCTCTGTGAATAGGTGAGCTGACACTTCAAAAAGCCTTGAGAGAGAACCATGGGCACCATTCATGTGAATACACCAGGCTGAGTATGCAACCAAACATTCAGGCTTACTTCAACTGATTCAAATGACAATTAGACACAACTATCAGTCATTCCTCACCATGGCTTGAAATGTGCTTCATAAAAATATCAGGGAAGGAATGAAACCACCAAGTGAAAGAATTCATCACAATATCTGATGCAGCAAAAATGCTAAGGAGCTCTGAAACCTTGTTAAATACACCAGGGCAGTTTGAGCCTACATAATGATGAATAGTTTAGCACAGGCAGGACAGCAATGGCATAACTTCAGTAAAAAACCTTACCCCAGTAATTAGATGGATGCTAGAGACAAACTGAGGAAGGCAAAATATAAAACACAAAAACATACATGAAAAAGTTAGGATATCCATTTATGCCTATTCAATCAAGCACAGGCAAGACAATATAGTACCTTCATAATTTTAATTTAATCCTCAGTTTAGTGTTGCATAAAAGCTAATCACAAGCATAATTCACATTTACATGGTAATGCCTACATCATTGCATTCTGGCAATGCAGCCATTCCAATATATCCCTCTCTTAAAGTGCAGGGATATTGCAAAAATACAATGAACTAAAATACATATTGAACATGATGACATATAGATAATCAGAAGAACAGCAATGATTATTCCACATTCTGTTAAATAGGTAGAGGCAATCTGGTGCCTTGGAGGCTATTCAGTACCTGCTTTGGATATGTGTCTGGACAGACCATTCGTATGCACTGGGCATCAGCTAGTTAGACAGTCTCAAGCACTGACATACAATATTTCAACACAAACATATCATAGCAGCTTTGGATTTTATCAAAAAAGGTTGTTTTGCCCAAGTTATAATGACACCCTGAGTAAGGTCACAATAGAGAAATGGTAGAGTAGAATAAAAAGGAGATAGTTTAATGGATTATTCATTGGTATATAGGCATAAGAGCAAATCATTCTCAAGTTAATCAGCTATTTTTAAAAGGACTTGCAGGCTTTTTAGCTATGTTTTCATAAACTGCCAGACAGTTTGCATTTCAAATAATAAAACTGGAGATGTTTGAAACCTACAAAATGACCAAACACCTCATACATTAGGCACAGCATGAACAACTAGCTTCTTACACCTCTTTTCAAGTGCCAGCAATGCACATCAGGGTTATGCTGCTAAAATTGATAATGCCAAGCCCATACCACAACTCAGAATCATCATTTCTTTGATGCTTGGGAGAAACATGCTCAATAAATGTCTCATTTCAACCATGTAGGTGTTTAACCCCTTAATCACATGCCTCACCCAACTGCACTACTTTTGCCAGGCCAATTCTCCTGATATTCAAGCATTGCTTAAAGCGCTACAGTTGAATTATCACACACTTACATGTACCCTTCTTTGAGGTAGTTCACGTTTTCAGCGAACGGTAAGGCTGATGGTAGCGCGGACCCGGGACTCACGAAGTGTGCGAACGCAGGATGCGGCCGTGAAGACAAAGGAAAGTTTTGCAAATACATAAAACTGTTGGTGAAACATCACGTACAATACCAGGACAGCTTCCATACATACCAAATTATCATTATATAAGTGATCAGCGCCAGAAAAATAATTTTTCGGCCTCTCGTACCTGGGCGATTTGCCCAAGGTCAAATTTACGCACGCGAACAGACGAACAGCGACGCGCACAAAAACCCGACGACGTCCGAAACCTTGCCACAAAAAAATACAGCCTTCAGCCAAAATATGCAAGGCTTACCTGTCTATATGGGCCTTTGAAGATGATTTGGTTTCACGTCTGTCTCAATGCTTCCGGACGAGCGGGGATCGCACCTCCTCCCCGCACTCTCCCCGCGGAACCGCCGGGTCTGTTTTCTTCTTGCTCCAATGCCTGCTGCCATCTATCGGAGCGTCGGTAATCTATGCAAATAGCACAGCTGATGCACTTTAGCCACATGTCGTGTGGCTGCAATGAAAATACCAAGCATTTTTCACATGGTTTTGCTTTGATGCCGTTGTGCACCTACTTGAAAGATGGGCATACGTGTTTTTTATAACGGAATAGCGTCCCAGCCCACCTATAGGAATTTTGGTTGCACGAATCGCATCTGCCACGGCAAACACCCTCGCCAGCATGACGTGACCCCGCCGTACAGGACCGCAGTTCTACAAAATGGGCTGCGAACTGATCGTGAAGTTTGCAAGAACGTATTCGTTTCACGAGTTCGGTACAGTTTTTTCCTGAAGTTGGGGGAGAGGGGGCTGCGCAACCCAGATGAATGGAACACTGCACAGTCCCACACGTGCTATGGGGACTGTGCAGTGTCCCATTTGTGCATCGGCGCGATCGAAGGGAAAGGGGTGCCCACCCCCACTCAGGCCCGTATTTTGTATTGTTCATAAAAAAGCCCCTCCCTAGCATCACAACTCATGATTACTGCGCACTGGAATTACGTTAGGCCATGAACGTAACATTGATGCAATTATATTTATTAGCCACTTTTCATTGCTGAAGGTATTAGGGGGGGGGGGGAAGGGGACAGGGCTCCTACGGATACCAGAAAACCTCAAAATTGGGAGGGTCCGCGGGCCCCCTGAGGGACTCTTCACAGTGGCGCAGGCAGGGAGCACAGGGGGCACGTGCCCCCCTCCCCTTAGGTTCGAGGGGCCCCTCGGGGCTCTCGGAACCGACGATTTAGGGCCCGAATCGAGAGCCCGAAGGGCTTGCAAGGCCCACCAGAGACCATATTCAGGGGCGTCGGTCCACAAGGCCGGGCACTCTAATGACACTCAGAGCGGACCCTTTGTGCCAGTAGGGGCCCCTGAGTCGCTTAGGGCCTGCACGTCGGCCTGACGCCACCAGTACCCCAAAGTCGATTCCCTGTCGGTATGGGCATGAGGCTTCATTTTCGAAACAGGAACAAGGCCGAGGCCAGCCATTTACATTAGTCTAGGCCCAAGCGTCTGCCAGTGGCCCACAAGGGTTCCTGTGTTGGCAAGGAACCCCGAGTCAGCCAGAGGCAGTTCGAGGAAGCCCGAAGATAGCTTGGTGGTCCTTCGGGATCGACGATCAACTGCCCGATTGAAAGGTCTAAGGGCACGAAGGGCTGGCTAGAATCTACTACAAGATTCCCGGCCTGCGGGACGGGCTCTCAGATGACAGTTAGAGAGCCATTTGCACCGAGCCATCGAGCCAGCAACGACCTTCATGTCGGTCAGGCAACACCACCGTCGGTTTCGTGTCTGTAGGGGTCTGAGGGGTTCACTTCCCAAGCAGCGACAAAGCTGGGCCAGACGATTTACACTGGTCGATGCCCCTGTATCTGTCATGCACCCACAGTGCCTAACAGGGGTTTTCGTGCTGACAACGGGCTTTGTTTGAGTTACAGGGATTTCTGTGTTCGACCAAGCGCAATGCTCAATGAGGCCCGGAGAGGAGCCGGGGGGGGGGGGGGGGGAGGGGGGAGGGGGGAGGGGCACAAAAATCGATCATTAAGAGCTCGGTTGGAGGGCCATAAGGGCCCGAAGGTCTAACTGTAGGTCATATATAGGATTCCAGCCCATAGGGCCGTGACCTCAAATACCATTCAGAGGACTTCTTTCGCCGATTGATTGCGGACTCCCTAGTAAAATGCGGGCGTCTATACCAGAGGGCAACAACACCAAACATTGGGCTCCGTGTCGATCTGAGCCCTGGGAAACTAATTCCCAAACAGGACCAAGACCGGGGCCCATGATTTGCATTTGTCTGGGCCCCTGAAGCAATTATTGGGGTCCCTGTGTCGGTCAGGGGTTCACGGTTCTGACAGGTGATACGTGTGGGCGAGTTGCCCAGAGTGGGTCACGGACTGTGTTTGAGTGGGCCCGAAGAAGGGCTGAAGGATCCCTCGGTCCAAACATCGAGGGCCTGATTGGAAGACTGAAAAGACTGAACAGCCCAAAGGACTGGTCGCAGATCACAGTAAGGCACCCCCCTCCCCCCCCCGTCTGAACGGACATGACCTCGGATGCCAGTCAGAAGGTCCCTTGCATCGATTGAGAGACCGGTGGGACATCGTGGGCCTCTATTTCGGCCGGAGTCCACCAACACCAAACAATCGGCTGCGTTGTTCGGTATTGTTGGAGTCCGTCTGAGCCCTGGGGGGGGGGGGGGGGACAATTCCCCAAGCACGAGCCAGGCCGGGCCCGCGGTTTGCACTGGTCAGGGGCCCTGGAACAATGAAAGTGTCGGTCAGGGCGCCACAGTGCCTAGCAGGGGGTTTCGTGCTGGCAGATGACACCGCTTTGCCAGCAGCCGCGTCTGAGGGGGCCCGAATAGGAGCCCGAAAGGTCTCTCGAGACCAAAGAGCAAGGGCCCCACTGAAAGGCTGAGGGATCCGAAAGGTCACATTAAGGACCCCCGACCTTAAGGCCGCAATTTCAAAAGTCAGATTGAAAGTCTCCTGCACCGATTGAGGGCCCCTGATACAGCACATCCTTCTGTTTCGGTTCAAAATCAGCAACACCGAACAGTCGGCTCCGTGTCAGTCTGAACTCTGAAGGGGGGGGGGGGGGCGTTTTCTAAGTAGGGACAAGACTGGGCCTGCGATTGGTTGGTCGGGGCCCCTGCAACAATGCGGGCGATCCTATGTCGATCAGGGCCCTTAGTGCCTAACAGAGTCCTGCACCAACAAGGGGCTTCGAGTCGGCCAAGGGAACATTTGTTGGACAGCGATGCTGACGGGATCTTAAATGCAAGAGGACCTCTTGCGTTGATCGGTGCTCACTGCCAATGAAAGAAAGCCCGAGAACTTCCATGATAATTCATATTGAGACAGTGGAAGGGCCCTGTGCCAGTCAGGGCCCCCAGTGCCGAACCGTGGGCCATCCAACCCAAGTTCTAGCCATGGTCTCGTTAAGCCGAACTAGGTTTATGCGCCCACTATTGGGCTTACTGCGACAAGCAGGACTTATTGCGTCAGTGAAGGTTCCTGGGTCGATCCGGGGCCAACTGCGCGGGTGGAAGGCCTCCCACGTCAAGGAGGGGACCAATGTGATATAATGTATTCCTCTGAGGGCCGCCGGATCGACCAGGGGACCCCACCTCCTTGTCGCTAAAATGAAAGCCGGAAGGCACTCCGCGCAGGGTGCAATGGCCCTTCAGCCCTTAACCGGGAACGATAATGTACCCACATTGTTCTACTCAAAAGGGCCCATAGCCCAGAACAAAATAAGGGGTCCCATTAGTGTTGAATAAAGTGGGCGAAGTTGGTTCAAAAATGAAAAAGGTCTCTCCACTTTTGCCTAATAACATTCATTCTTTTGCAGAATGAACTACTGAAACAAATAGCATCAAAAGTTTTGAGCCCACGTGCTCTCAATCCCAGGAGCAAGAGCAGCGACAGCCGAGATTGCAGTTCCCGTAAACCGAACGGCTTTGGCCACTGGAAGTAACGCCAGGAGGTGGGCCCGTACGAACGAGAGCGGTCGTCGTGAAACAATGCTTCCCAAAATCTGTACAAATAAATACGTACCGTAAGATCGCGTAAAATTTTACTGGGATGTATCTTATTTATTTTGAGTTTGTGCTCTGGGCGGATGAACAAATACAGCAGCACGAAAGCCGAGATTCTACCTTTAACCTTCCAGTTCCACCACCAGATTTCGTTTATCGTTGGCCACCGTTTAATGATAGCCGCAGGTCCGTAGTTCTAGGGCTTTGAGTTTTAGCCTCGGGACCAACGCCGGGCATCATATGGAGACTGCAACGCCGGGTGTCGATGTTTTTATTGCTAAGTTTTGCGAGCGTGCATGTTCAAAACCACGCAACATCTTTTTTATAACTTATCGATTCCGAGTAAATGTTGAACACCTTCAAGAAAATATGGGCTGGCCATGTTAATTCCAAATATTCATCCCTTTGATGTACAATCTGCGTCCACAGCGTCCTCATTTTATCTGTAGAACCCAGGTAAAAATTCTGACAAAGCTACTTCGATGAACCATTTTAAAGGGACGAGCGACGGCGATTTATTCATGCAGCCGTTTAGCCCTCTCATCATTGTTAACTTTATCATCATCTAACGCCTGGTCCATTGAGATTATTTACTGCAAAATTCAAACATAATTAATCTGCGGTAGCGTCTGGCTTCTCTTCCAGTTAGGGAAGGTAAACATAATGTTAAAAAATGAAACCATGTCCCTCATTAACAAGTGGGCCATATGCGGCGTTCCTCTTTTTGGGGTGGTCGCTTTCACCATCAAGAGGCCGTTTCTCAATCGTTGCCCTCACCAATTACCAATGCTCTGTCTGCACCCCTGGTTCTTCGACATGCGCAACGCGAAGAAAAAATGAGATGATGAAAAAAAAGAAGAAAAAAATGTCCCGAACGGGCAACTCCCAAAAAGAGATTCCTTGCTAAAGTAGATGTTCAGATCACAGCTTATTTTGACTGGCAGGGGAGGAAAGGGGCATTCCTAGCGGTGATCGCCGAGCCCTCCCCATTTAACCGCAAATCCCCCCCCCCCCCCGACGACAAAGGTGAGACAGCTGTTCTTAAAGCAGAAAAGAAGAGCACGGAAAATGGAAACTGAGCTCTGACTGACGCAGTGTGTTCCTTAATCTGGGCAAGGACATGACCAACACATGTAT